TAATTACTGTTGTTTATTTCACAGAAACATTTGCCCGAGTCGAAAACTCGACTCGCCAGTAAAGGAGAGGTTTTCTGCAAACAGAAAACACGCTTAAAACAAACGAAATTACAACATTAACAACTGAAATGAAAACTCACCGACTGTTCGAGCTTAGGGTTTTCAAACAATGACAATAAAACAGCAACCAAACATTCTCGAAAATGAACGTGACGATTTTTCCTCTCAAAGCACATGGGAGATTGCCCGGATGTTTACGTGAACATAGGCCCGCAATGGGAGTTACACGACGGTCATTTTGAAAGTTTATAAGTGCGTGGGAGACGGGGCGACCGGAACCAGACGGCCAGGTGTTGGTGACGATCTAGTTGTGTTCTAAATAGCTGGCAAAGGCTTTCAGCTGGTCAGAGCGAGGTTTCGCTTTCTTCTTCAGTCATATATTCACACATAAAGTTAAGCGAAATATCAGTTAAAATGTAACACCTTCGTTACTATTTCTCGAGTCTGGTTTCTATGATAGAAAACCCTATGAAGTGTGGAACGTATTCTCTTAGAAGTCTTAAATAGTCAAAACGTGGTTTCGTAAATTCATCATTCTTATTTTCATCGATAAAGCTAAACGAGGAAAGTATCGTTAAAAGTGTTACATATTCATGACAAGGCTAACAACTTAAACAATGCTGTCGGGATGAAAGCATGGTTTGCATCTTCTCAATTCTGGTTGCTACGACCGAAAACCCCACGAAGCGTGAAACGCATTCTCTTAACATTTAAATTTTTAATCAATACTGACGGTGATAACTGTCAATACTACTATCTACAGGAAAAGGAAAAAGCCACGCACATGAATTTCCAATTAGCGGTGAACAAAATCATTAAGACACTCATCTATGATAACAATAATAATAATAAGAGATAATAAGAGATTTTTCGTACCTAAGTTTCTTGTATTTATCAGATTAAGTTATATTTATGTGTGTTTATATGTATATATATGTATTTTATTATTTAATTTTTATTTATTTACGTTTTCAAAGTTTAGGAAGATTCTATTCCTACGCGCAGCCTGGGCCACGTTTATCGCCCCAGTCTGTGTATGATCTTATGGCAAACATAATTTTTACAACTGTCAGATAATATTAATATATGCTAATTGAGGCTCCCCCATCGGGCCTTTAGCCACAATATCGACTAAGTAGTTGAAAATCCCCACTGGCAGGAGGCAGACCAGTGAGCTGTTTACAGAGTGTAGCTAGGGAGTTGAACCAGGGGCAACCAAGAACAAATTCAGTGAGTGGCAGGGTGGAGGACTTGAACTTGGGACACGGGATTACAAGTTCAGCAACCTAACTACTCGGCCATGCCGCCTACCGATTTGTTAACAAATTTCCATTGGAAAAGAAAGAAAATGATATAATTATTAGAAGTTGAAAAGCATTAATTTTCAAATTGAACTTAATTCACACTACTTTAAACTAGCCACACTTTTAAATTAATTGTTACCCCTGACTCATTCAGAAACATCCATTTGCCATGATAGTGGATTATTATAATTTCAATTATTACTACCAGTAGTTGTATATTTGAAATCAGGACTGAGAATTCTTATCAGCAATGAATAGGAAATTCTCATTTATTCCAAAAGGCAAACTGTCTTAGCCAATCACATTTCAGAAATTTCTCACCTTCTGAGGGAACCTGTTACACATTATGTGAGGATGATAAAAATAAATCGTTGGCATACCTGAGTATTGTTCCACAAATGACATTACTATCAGGAAAACGATTTGTGGCTGAAGCATCCCTTCCGGAAAATAAAGTGGTTTTTTAAATAACGTCAATGAAAGTCATAATCTTATTGGTTTATCACTTGTGTAAACTTCAAGTTGGCAGTTTTTATTTGGTTAAAAAACTAACAGAAGAGAAAACCACATCAATGTAGGACACTTACTGAGAGATGGAGGCTTCAACTAAATTTGTTTCTGGTTAGGTGATGATAATCCAAAAGCACATTTGTTGGCTTCCCTTATTTTCCTGCAAAGTGGTTATCACATCAAACTACATCATGAGGAAGTTCATTAAAACACAGGGGATACAAATCCACCTTATCACATACTCAAGTTTCATTGACCAATACCCTTTGTGATCAGTTCGCTCTCTCATTATTATTGTAATTAGGTTAGATTTAAAATAGCACATTCCAAAGCTTAGCCGACAATAATTGTTTGCTGCCTAAATTAAGTACATACAAAAAGTATTGCCAAAAAAGTGTAAAATGTTCATTTCTCTATTTCAAGCCCACTATGACGTTAAAATTGGAATTTTTACCATACATGGAGATATAATGCATTTTTACTCCTACGCATTAAGTTTTCCTTGACAGTGAAAGTAAAGACGCTAATTAATCATTTATTTATCTCGGTACAGTTTCCATCGCTTTTGGTGAAGAGTAAAACAGGGAAAATGTTTATCTGAATTCCTTCAAAAGTACACTAATTCTGGAACTGAAACAGTACACCTTGCTGGCTACAGTATCTAGTTTTAAAAAATGTCAAAATATCTGTGGGCCTCTACTTTTCATAGGGATAATTTGTGAATGAAGGTCAGATAAAATCCAGAAATCACAAAGCTTTAAGGGAGAGAACTCAACTGTGAACTTTGTATTGAGTGCAAATGTCAAAATACTAGGATACTCGGAAAAAAAGAACAGATGAGTGGCACTTTGAAACATCGGGTCAAAATTGGGTCAAGCTCGAAATTCTATAGTTACTCTCACTCACTCACTCGTCACGACACATTTTGTAGCTTCGCCTCTTGTAGAGGGTAGTAGCCACAAAAATTTATTAGGTTTCGTAGGGGGCTATTCGACTTGTCTACAAACATATACCTCAAGTCGTGTGCATATCATCCAGATTCTGAATGCTGCGCCTTCTTTCATGGAAGTTTGAGCAATTCCAAATTCTCTGGCGATATACTGCTATACTTCTTTGTCAATTGACTTGCCTGATAAACCGACCATTTGTCAGTAAAACGGCGTGACGCTTAATTGACCATGAGGTTTCCCTCGTTCGCTCCAAAGAAGACAAGAAACGGATATTTTTCGATATTTTTGGAAATAGCTGTGCATTTTGAAGTGAAGAAAGCAAACAAACAAACAAAAAACACCAAGACTGCAACTAAACGCACGGAGCATTTTTGACGGATCTAAGAGGACCTAATTTAGCGAAATTAGCGGAAAATAATGAGGGCTGACTTTTAAAAACCGAGGAACTCTGTTTTCGTTGAGGGCATTTTCCTATTTCCAGAGGTTTTTAAGGAGAAAATTAATTTTTTGAACATTTTTAAGGGGTGCACTAAGTTTTTGGAGGTTGTTCTGTAAAAGAAAAGCCGCAAGGAAAACGACGCCTCGAAGCAACAGAGAAGAAATCAACCAAGCGAACGACTCAAAATCAGTGTTTCCGCAGCAAAATCTTGCGCAAGCGTACAAGTTGTTCAGCTCTGTCGTCTAAGAGTATAAATGGGAATCGCAACTTGTCAGCGACAGTACAACATGTAAAACACAGTTGCAACGATACTCGCGCTGAAACTAAAGATTTTGAACAACTCGGTATCCATGCACTACAGCAATTGAAACAGGGACCTCATCACAGTTATTTTCCACAAACTGAGTTTTTTCTAGTCAGTTTTTTACATGCTTTGAGCATTGATATTTCTAGGTCTTGATGATAAAAAGCTTTGATAAGTGCTAACAAACTTTACCTC